AGAGTAACACCATTGCTTTGCTTTTTTTCACTGAAGAAAAACATTATAAAGTGCTTTTTGGGTTAATTGTCCAAAGTACATTGTTGTTGTGCCATGACTGTCATCTCACAGCAAGAACAATTTGGAGATGAATGTGCTGGTCCTCTGCAGGTGCTGATATAAGTGCACTCTGTGGTAAACCTGTGATGGGCTGGTCCTCTGTGTACTCAAACACTTCAGTGCCCCCTCAGTCGCTGCCCTATAGCCCTAGTTAGATACAGAGTTAGTGGACTGAAGAATATCCTTTTCTTTTCAACCAAGGTCCAAAAGTTTGTTTTTGATGGCTAGGCTTCATTGGAGCACATTCTTCAAGATCGTCTGCTACGATACTGTAGTGTTTGACCCGACACACTGGATTACTTTGAGTAGTGTTTATTGCAAATCGCACAAAATGCTTTCTTGACAGGTTTGGCGCCCACTTCAGCTTTTCAGATGGTCTCCAGCACTCACACCTCCTTCCCCAGGTCTCAGGCTTCACTCTAGAGGGAGAAACCTCGCTAGTGGAATCCCAGACACCTGTCCCTCCAGCCTCCTTGGGACTCCCCCCTTGAGCTCACTGCCCCCTGAGCCAGAGACGACACCTCTGCCACAACTACATTTTTGTCCAAATGTCCTTTTCCCCCCCAAGTGATTTATGATATTTTATTTCTTCAAATATGAAAACAAAAAACAAAAAACAGTAGGAGATGTCTTTTCCTTTGTTGCCTTTACTTTATTATTATTTCTGGGACTGTTTTTGTAGGGTCTATTTTACAATATAAAGTGCCTTGAGATGACAGTTGTGATTTGGAACTGTATAAATGAAAATGAACTGAATTATTGCCTTTACTTTACCTGCATTTATCTCAATTCTATTATTGCAATTCATTGGAAAGTGGGGTCTTTTATTTCTTTAACTTAACCTGATTCTGTCACAATTACTAGGTAGGACTGAAGCTCAAGTGGAATATTTACATATGTACAGTGAGAGGGGGAAGAGGGGTCCAGTGATTCCGTGGGCAGGTCCAGGCCTGGAGAACCGACATGCTCACACTCACTCCACTCGTGAAAGAAACACACTCGGTCCAAAAGATCCACGCTGTGCCTCAGTCACACTCTCACTCATCCAAAAGGGTTCCAGGAAAGGCAGGCTGGGGTCCAGGGAGGTCTGTACAGGGCAGATGGAGAAACAACGATTAGCCAGAGAACCATAAGCACAAGGAAGAATACAACAGAGAGCTGAGCTACACTAACTGAGAAGAGTACAATGATCCAGTGAAGCCTTAAATGAGATCAGGGCAATCAGCCAGGATGAGCAGGTGAGCAGATAAAGGATGGGAGATCCAGGGAGGCACAGGTATCCAGACGCAGCCCTTGTGGAGAAGGCGAGTACCACCACCAGAGCAGATTCTCTGTGCTGGTTTGTGTCTGACCTCCTGCTCTCCTCATGTGCTTTGGACAGGTCAACATGGCAGCTCCAAAAACTTGAGTGATGAGAGATGTCGATCTCTACAAAGCTGTTGCAGAAATATGCTGTCGCGCACAGCATGGCTGCACAGATGGTTTTAGTAAGTCTGTGTCACTGAACCACATCACTGTGTACTGGCAGCACAGAAATACACAGCTGAGTGTGACAGTTTGACACTGGGGAGGCTCAGAGCTCCTTTCACTCTGGTCTCTCTCAAAATCTCGATGTGATTCTGAAACGCCGGCTCATAGTCGGGTTTGTTTGTGTCATAGCTATATCCAATTAAGCTCATCGCTCCATAATCCCTTTGCTGGTACCAGAGCATCACGTATAAACTGTCATCATCGTGGCTGCATTGGATTTCTACTCTTTCGCCTACGTTGACTATCCTGGACTGAGGTTGCTGGAATGTCACACAGTTGGCTTGATCTGCAGGAAAGAGATTTAAAATGTGGTTAAAACTAGTTGACAAAAACAAGTAGAAAAATTCTGAAGGTTGTTATTGTTGAAGAAAAATTACATGTAAATAAGAGCAGGAGAAAAAGTGTGATTCCAGCTGAACACATCTTCCACATCTTCGAGTATGAGACCGACTGCCTAACTTCTCTGCTCTGTGAAGACATGCGTCCTCTGACGTAAGAGCTGAAGAAAAGAAGACGACACTGAGGGACTTTTTGTGAGGGAGCAGTATTAAACCACACCTCTGTGTGCTGGCAGAGTAACAGGTTTGCTGTGGGAATAACCAGAGCTCCTTTTACGTTGTCTTCTCTTTCAAGCTTAAATTCTTCTTTATACTGACCCTCGTAGGTCGGGTCTCCTGTGCCATATCCAAACCCAATGAGGGTCATAGACGGACTGCCTGTTCTTTGCTGGTACCAGAGCATCACAAGGCGGGTCCCGTCACCGTGGCTGCATGCGATGCGGACCTTAGAGCTCACGTTCACAATCTGAGGAAGACTTTGATGAAATATGATGCTGCTGACCAGAGCTGTGGATGTTTGGATACAATTATTACTGCAGTACAAACAAAGAGGACAGTTATAGGTTTATGTATGAGGGAGTGTGAAACTGAGGCTCTTACTTGGAAAGCAGAGGAAGAGAAAGCCAAACGTGTGGATGAAAGGAGACATTGTCATCACTGCTGTGTGAAAAAGTAATGTTTGCTCTGAGTGACTGAGCTCATGTATTTCTGGAATGGGGAGGTGCTCCCCATCCCCGGCTGCCTCCCTCTTCCCGCTCCAACACACCCACCCACACAAGTAGGGCCTTGGGGTGCAGGTGTGGCACCAGGGTGCAGGGGAGGAACCCCCCCCCCCCCCCCCTGTCCCCTTCTGGCCGCCTGTGCCTCAATTTTATTCCACAACTTAGACATCCACATTACTCACACTCTCATAACACATACATATAGGGCCTTGAGGGTGGGCACGTTAACGGCGTCCAGTGGACGTCTGTGTATTCAACCCCACCTCTGGCGCCGGTGCCCACCTCTCAATTTTAAATCCATGTAGACATTGAGGGTTCTCGGGAGGGGCCGTGCTAACACCTGCTGCTCTCTGCAGCGGCACCATGCGCTCCCGTGTTTTAAATTTTAAATGCGTGTTTAGAACAACACCAACTAGGCACCGTTTCATGCAAAGTAAGAACGGGCTAGGCCCATAACTTAATTCTGAGTTACGAAAAACTAAACAATCCCTTTGGAAAAGTGGTTCAAGAAACATCAACATCAACATCTCCCCTCACCACACTCCCTGCCGGTAACAGATGCCCTCAGGGGTCGGTGCGTTGGTGGTTCTTGGTGTCTGGGGCTGGGCGCTCAGGTATGTACCAGCTCACTCCCGGTGACTTCTTGGCGGGGCCTGGTGCCTGTTGCTCGGTCAGGCCTCTTCCGGGGCAAAGGGGGCCCTCAGGCCTTTGGGCCTGCGGCTCGGTTCACTCTAGCACAGCTGGCTGCCGGCAGAGCCAGCGGGCACGCCACTGCAGCCCCCTCTGGCTTCTGCTCCGTGGCTACTGGGTGACCCCTCATCTGGGGCTCTCCTCTGCTCTTCCCAGGAGGGTGGCACCGATGCCCCTCAGGTGGTCCTCCTTGGGTTCTCGCACTCTGGGGCCTCTGGAAGTCTGGAGCCTGGATCTCCTCCATGCCTGCTTCATGCGGAGCGGGGCTATGGCTCTCTACACCCTCTAGCAGACCATTACATGGGGAAACCTTTTGAATACAAGCGCGCTGATCCACACAGGTGTGCACACGGGTGTTCACTGTTTATAGACATAAACTACACCTTTATTGGTGCTATTTCCAGGCACATTGTGTGCTGTCGGTCCTGCTTGCTACACAACCAGTGTGTGAATGTGTGTGTGAATGGGTGGATGACTGGATATGTAAAGTGCTTTGAGGCCCTTAGGGACTAGAAAAGGGCTATATAAATACAGGCCATTCACCATTTTTATTTTTTACAACAACATTCAATATTTAGTATTTACTGCTGTTTACACTTAGCTAGATTAACGTGATGGTGTTGTGTTTAGTGTGTTGCTCTGTTTTTTTGCTTGTTTTCTCTTCTTTTTCTCTCAACAGGTGATCCAGGAGATTTTTTTCCTCTTCTTTCTCTTTTTAAGTGCCCTTTCTCACTGTCCCTCTTCCCTTCTGTTTTTCTTTTCCTCCATCTTTCTTTCTCCCTTTCCTATCTCTCAGTCATGTCTGTCTGTAACAACTGAAAATAAAATAAAATAAATAATAACAACAAAGATTGATCAAATGGACCAATGTGGCAATGCCGTGATGATCCACTTAGTAAAGTAAATCCATTGGG